GGCGCTCGTCTTGCGAGGCACCACTATACGTTGCAGGCAATGTGATGGCACATGACAGCAAAAGTGAAGATACAAAACAGAGGGTTTTTGCCCTATATTTCAAGAAGCTTACCCCCCTCCAATTAAGCCTAAAGCACCCATGAGTGAGACTGAACAGCCACTTTATAGAAACGATATGCTCTCGCACCAAGCTGTCATCAATCTGTCCACAAGCCACCAGATGTTTACAGCTGAGCTGGGAGCATCCCACTCATACAAAACAACTTTTATTTACAAGTAGGGAGTAAACACAAAGAGGAAGGAGGCAAGTGCTGAGTGGCACACCAGTTCGTACGGCCTCAAGCTCTGACACAGCTCGGCTGACAGAAGGATACAGCTCCAGGCTATGACTTTGCCAATCGGGGAAACACAGGTGTTGGCCCAACCCAGGGTTACTCAAGGTCATTGAGAAGCTGCAGTTCAAAGACCTGCAGGTGCTCCTTAAGCCCTCGATGGGTGTTGGCGCTGTGTGGTTGCCGTTCGCGCTGGAGCTCGCAGATGCGCAGGCGGAGACGCTGCTCTCGCCTCCGGCAGGCTTGCAGCTGCCGCTGGGCTTTCCCCAACGCGTTGAGCGCGGCCTCGGCTCGCCTTTTCCACAGCAAGGCACTCCCCACCTGGTAGCTGTGCTCGTTCTGGATGTAGGCACCCGCTGGGGGAGGGAGGCGCAGCATGTAAAGGGAGAGGGAGACCGGATGGGAGGGATCCACAGCTTCCGGGAGAGCTGGAGAAGGAGAAGCGTCTTCCTGGCCTGTGGCAACGGGCGACTGTTCCAGGGGAATGTCTGACAGGGTAGCCAAGTGCTCCGACTCCGGCCCAGGGACAACAGGCTGGCTTCGGGGCTCACCGCTAGTGGGAGCAGCCCCAGGGCTTGGTAGCTCCTGTGCAGGGAAACACGAGATATCCATGGCCAAGGAAGCCGACTCTTCCTCCGGACAAGGACCACAGCTGTGAGAGAGGACAAGAACAAGAGTCAAGGCAGGGCCGCAGTGGGGAAGATCTGCCACCCTCCTCTTGCACAACTGCACGAAGG